GCTTCCCTCCCACGTCACTGTTTACGTCACACGCTGAGCTACACGTTTTGTTACTTGCTCACGCCCCCCATTGCCCCGAAAAAGGCACATTCTGTATAAACAAAAGTAGGTAGGCGGCATTTTGCTGCACTCCCCGATTTTGTTTTTATACTGCCAATGCTGAAAAAAGACTGATTGGGCTTTCCTGCAAATTTGCACAACTCCTGTTAAAAAGGGCTGATGTCAGCTGGGATAGGCTCCACCCCCAGAGACAGCTGATAACCACCTTCATGGTGTGCAGGGAGCAGAGGAGGGTGAATGAGGAAATCTGGTGTAGTCTGAGGACATCTGGTGATCAGGTTGGGAACTGCACTACAGCTATATTAACATTTCAGGGCTTAATGCTCAGTTTTGATTGTTCCCCCAAATCTGATCGAGACTGTTGACATTCATGTTTGAAATGACCCCTACCTGACGTCAGGATCTCTGCCCTCAAATGCTTCACAATAATGTCACACATGCACATTGGAACAACAACAACAGGTATGCATCAGATTCAGGACCACATGTGACAGTCCACGTTCTCATTACAAACAAATGTGGCCCAAATCCAATATTTCTGCTCTTATCTGACACAGAAATCTGTTTTTTTTGTCCCCATCAGATCTGGGCTTCCTTCATATGTGGTTCTAAATCTGACACAATTCTGATCACTGACCATGAGACCGCAGAGAGAACAATCATATCTGAACCTGAAGTTTGTAAATATTTAGTGACAGAAGATCAAACAGAACAAAATCAGAACAAACTGCTGCTGAAACAGTTTAATTAGTATTTTATTAGCAAACTTCACCAAAACAAGAGACAATTTGCACTGGTGTTTAATACATTCAATTCATGACAATGACTGTTTAACTGAATTAATGACACAAAGTACTGCTGTGTCCATGTGACATTACAGATATTTTAGTGAAACAAATATAAAGAATGCACATCCTCCAAATAAACTTTTTCTAATCGGTGCTGACATCAAAGGAAAAACTTAAGAAAATCAAGATTTGTCGCACATGAAGTATTGCTGCTCCCATGCTTTATTCCCACACCAAACAAATAAACAGCGTTTCTCCTCATGTAGGAGGCTTCATCAGGCTTCAGGATTACAGATATTTTAACCATATACTGACCCAGTGAAGTGATGTTTTCACAGTTTGTCTACCAAATTTCACAAGTTTTGACTTTACAGATACATTTTAATTTCCATCATGTTTTCAGTTCACTCTCATGGTGTAAAACCAGCAAAGGAAATATGAACATACCCAACATGTCAAAGTGTCACCAGCAGGAGCCAGTCACTAACATTCAATTTAACTTTAAATTATGTCATTGTGCATGTTTCTTACAGTTATATTATTTTCAGTGATTTCATATTAGAAGGTCTGAGGATGTCTCTGGTGGCAAATAATTTGTAAATATTGAAAGCAACAATGTTCCAGCAGTTTGGGTGGAGTTGCTCCACTCTAAGGACGCTGCAGGCGGAGTCACGATGGACGTGGTCTGCAGGGCGTTTGTTAAAAGAGTTTTGAAAGTCCTCCGATGACGTCCTTCACATCCAGCCCTGAGAGAAAGTGACAGAAAGACAAAGACAAGAGAATATAAAAGATAAACCACAAAACACCAAAAGAGATCAAGAACAATCAGATCAGTTACAACAATACCTGAAAACTCCTCAGCTTTTAGAAACAACAACCATTTATAATGTGTGACTTTTTGTAGGGTCAGTGTTTGAAGTTTTGCTGGTTAAGACCCCGATCACACAGAAAGTGTTTTGGCAGCTGGAGGCAGCTTTTTGTAATAGTTTTTAAGGAGAATGAAGCTTTTTATAATAGTTTTTATTGAGAATGATGCTTTGTGTAATAGTTTATAATGAGAATGAAACTTTTTGTAATAGTTTATAATGAGAATGAAACTTTTTGTAATAGTTTTTAAGGAGAATGAAGCTTTTTATAATAGTTTTTATTGAGAATGATGCTTTGTGTAATAGTTTATAATGAGAATGAAACTTTTTGTAATAGTTTTTAATGAGAATGAAACTTTTTGTAATAGTTTTTAAGGAGAATGAAACTTTTTGTAATAGTTTTTAATGAGAATGAAACTTTTTGTAATAGTTTTTATTGAGAATGAAACTTTGTGTAATAGTTTTTAAGGAGAATGAAACTTTTTGTAATAGTTTTTATTGAAAATGATGCTTTGTGTAATAGTTTTTAATGAGAATGAAACTTTTTTATACAGTTTTTAATGAGAATGAAGCTTTTGGCTGCCGTGTGCTCGTGCAGTGTGGCAGGCGCTGCATGTGTACCTCACATACCAATCCCAGCCATCAAACGAACACTAACTCCATCCTACAGTTGGATCTCCAGTCTGGTTTTTACGATCTGCCTGCTTTCTTTATCGACAAGACAACGGTTAACCGTCGAAACAAGCAGGGACAGTGTTTACTGTCCGACAACTGGGAGCCAGAACCTCCAGTACTCCACACTCCTAAAGCCTGATTTATGGTCCTGCGTTAAATCAACGATGTCGCTACGTTGTAGGGTACGTGGCTACGCAGAAGGCTCCCTGTAGCCTCCGGTGTAGCCTGACGTGCACCTCCCCAAAAATGTAAAGCCTGATTTATGGTCCTGCGTTAAATCCACGACGTCGCTACGTCGTAGGGTACGTGGCTACGCAGAAGGCTCCCCGTAGCCCCCGGCGTAGCCTGACGTGCACCTCCCCAAAAATGTAACTACAAGTAGAGGCGACGCAGACCCAGCGCAGACCGAGAGGGCTGTGATTGGTTTGCTTGGTAGCAACGCATTTCCGGTTCTGTATTTCCAGATTGCGCCATCCCTGCCATCTTTAAACATCTTCTGTTGCGATGTAGATGTTGCACATATGTTGCAGTATTAAGGCCCATTTATGCTCAATGTTCAATACGGATACGGACGGAGCCGTCTGTCCGTGCTCCACGTTCATCTCTCTGTGACCGGAAAAGCCGGAAGCTAAACAAAGAATCAACTAGAGACGACGATAACCATTCAGGAAAGGAACGCAGCCTCCTACTACTCTGGCGGTGAATTGCACCGCGACGAAATGGAGTGACGGAGAAGTTCGAAGGGTTCACGACGGCATCACGGCAACAATGTAGGTATGTTGTAGGTACGCCGCAGGACCATAAATCAGGCTTAAACCATGGACGACTCAGAGTGCCCTCTGCCTTACGTGAGCAAATGAACTCAATTAATATAACTCAAAGGCTACTTTACTTGACAATCATAGCACTCTTGGCTGGTGACGTGGAAGTTAACCCGGGCCCACAACCAGCTAACGCCACCGACCTGACTCACCAATCCACACAGCTAATATGCTCTACTCAAAACACCGGGCATCCACCTTTGCAACAGCGGCTGCCGTGGTTGGGGCCGGTGGGGTTGTGCCGGGGGCTGGTTCCGGAGCTGGGGGCTGATGGCGATCTACTACACCTGGACACCATCACCTCCGCAGCGGCCCCTACAGCGGGACCGTGTCCGGGGCTAACAGCCCAGCAGCTAGCAGCTAACGGCGGGCGGCATCCTCCATTCTGACACCGACAACGCAGCAGCGGCTCCTCCAGCGGGACTGTGTCCAGGGCTAACAACCCAGCAGCTGGCAGCTGGCGGCGGCGGCGTCCACCGTCCCGACACCGATGGCTCAGCAGCGGCTTCTCCAGCAGGGCCGTGCTCAGGGCTAACAACCCAGCAGCTGGCAGCTAACCACGGCATCCACCGTCCCGATGGCACGGCCGCGGCTCTCTCAGCGAGACCGTGCATTGGGCTAGCCCAGCGGCTAACGACTGGCGGTGGCATCCGCCATCCCAGCACCGTCGCCCAGGCGGCGGCCCGTCTGTACTGCCCGGGCACCATCGGTGCAGCGGCGGTTCACCCAGCGGGCCTGCGCCGAGGGCTAGTAACTCAGCAGCTGGAGGCCAATGACACCGTCAGTGAAAAATCAGCACACCCAGAGGAGTTGAGTTCAGGGCCAGGGACAGGTGAGTCTGGTCCGAGGAAGATCAACACTAGAAACCCTGTGTTTAAAAAAATAAGATCCATCAAGCTAATAAATCACACGTTGAATCAAGCCAAAGTGATCTGGGATCCACAAAGTAAACCTAGAGGTTTACTTCCGGAGTATTCTTCCCAAGTGCGAGCAAGTTCACCATTTACTAATGGCCAATTTCCACCAGATGCGTGTTGGTTGCGTCTCCGCTCCGGCACGGCAGCGGAGCCGATAGGATTCAATTCTAGTCAATGTGTTTGTTTCCACCGGCTGCGGCTGTGCTGCGTTCCGGCTCCGTCACAGCTGCGGCGCTCCGGAGCCCTCCGCAGCAGATACACAAGACTTCTATTTTTGCTGGACGCCGGAGCACAACGCAGCAATTCAGCACAGAGCAGATCGTGCGGGGCAGGAAGTCGTGCACAGAAACACGATAAAACATCTGGTTAATTTTCAAAAAAAAATACACAGTGTTCACAGAGGATCATATTTCCCTGCACTACACCTTGAAAACTACATAATGGGCAGAGGCAGGCCTGAAATCAACAGGTCAGAGGTTTTCAGACGTCATTTCACCCCGTGAACACCATGGACGAGGAGAAATTAATCATGGCAGTGCACCGAGATGTCTTCCGGCAGAGCTGCACCGCACCGCACAGCAAACGCAGCCAGTGGGTATTGACGGACGGCGGAGCAAGCAGCAGATAACCAGCGCTGCCGTTCCGCAACGGACACGCATCCAGTGGAAATCCGGCGTAAGTGACTCAAATCTGGACATTCTATGTCTATCGGAAACTTGGCTTAATACCAGTTCTCCCACGGCTGCGCTATATGTACCAGGTTATAACATCTTTAGGAAAGACCGAGTGGGGAGTAGGGGTGGGGGCATAATGTTTTATGTAAGGGAACACCTACAGTGCACTCAGATTGAATGGACTTGTGCAAACAACCTTGAATGTATTGGTCTTAAAATAATCCTCTCCCCACAAATGTCAATACTGTTGATTGGTATATATAGACCTCCCTCAACTCCCACAGTATTTTACGAGGAACTACAGGGTTTACTCTAGGAATGCGATACAAAGAAAGAAATTATCCTACTTGGAGACCTGAATATTAATTGGCTTGACAAAACCAATCGGAAACATCTAAAAACTTTATTGAACAAGTTCGACTTCTCTCAACTAATTAAAGAACCCACCAGACTAACTACTTCCTCAAAAACATGTATAGACCTTGTCTTCAGCAACAAGTGTGAGAGAATTCAAAAAACGTTTAATTTGATAACTGGTTTGTCTGATCACAATTTAATTTTATTCTCGAGGAAACTTACAAATAATAGATTCACCTGTCCACAAAGGAGGACACTTGAGCAAATGAGAATACCTAAGAGGGAGATTCCTGCCTTGACACAGGCACTGAATAACATCAACTGGGCTGACCATCTCACCCACAATCATGTTAATGACAACTGTAATGTGTTCACAGCTGTTATTCAAGAAACAGTGTCTGCTTTTATGAAAAAAAACAAGTTAAAACCACAGAAAAAGAATCACCTCTCCTGGTTAAATGATAACATACGGACACTGATGAAACAAAGAGACCAGGCTCTTAAAAAAATCGTTGAAAACAAAAATGGTGCACGACAGACAGATATTCACTTCACTAAGAAATAAAGTTGTGAAGGAGATTAGACGTGCAAAAGCAAACTTTTTTATTAAAATTATAAGCAACGCAGGAGGAAATGCCAAGGAAATCTGGTCAAATATTAAAAAACTGACAGGAAACCATACAGGAAGTAAAGAAATTAGGGAATTACAACTAAGGGAAAATGCAATCTATGATCCGAAACAAATTGCAACAGCACTTAACGATTATTTTGTTGACTCTGTTAATGACCTGGCACGAAGTTTTGATCCTGAAATGTGCCATCTCTTGCTGATGCCTTTAAACACAGCTGAGCCAGTCTTTGATCTTCTCACAGTATCCCAGCCACAGGTTGACAAGATTATCACTGGTCTCAAAAGCTCTAAAGCCAAAGACACATATGGTATGGATGCTATGTTTTTAAAAAATCATAAGGAATCCTTAATAGCACCACTAACAGTCATTATAAATAACTCCATAAACGAAGGAGTTTTCCCAGACTCCTGGAAATGCTCTGTCATTACACCAATACATAAATCAGGTAATTCAGCACTAGTTAGTAACTACAGACGGATAAGTATACTCCCCACAGCCTCCAAGATCATGGAAAAGCTGATTGCAGAGCAAATCATTAAACACCTGAATAATAGCCCATACATCCTTCACCAAATGCAGTTTGGCTTTAGAAAATATCACTCAACTGAACCTGCTGTCTGCTTTCTTCTAGAAAGCATAAAATCAAAGCTTGATACATGCGGTGGTGTTGTTGGTGCTGTTTTCATTGACCTTAGAAAAGCCTTTGAAACTGTTAATCATGAAATACTGTTGACCAAACTGTCTCATTTCAACTTTTCTCTGAATGCATTGAACTGGTGAAGATCTTATGTTTCATCAAGGATGCAATGTGTCAGGGTACAGGACATGAAATCAGCGTTACGTAACAACAGTCTTGGGGTACCACAAGGGTCAGTGCTGGGGCCGTTGTTCTTCAGTTTATTTATAAATGATCTACCAAACTGTTGTCCATCCACTGTAACTTGTCAAATGTATGCTGACGATGCAGTCTTGTATGTGCATGCGAAAGACAAAACACAAGCTGCACAAGACCTGACAGCTTCCATGAATAATGTGTACAAATGGCTTGAGACTTCACACGTACACCTTAATGTATCCAAGACTGTGTGTATGTACTTCTCAAAGAAGAGAATTAATGATATTAACCCCGATGTTATTGTTCAAAATCAAATAATTGAAGCAGTACAACAATTTAAATATCTAGGAGTCATTCTTGACCCACAACTTAATTTAAAACAACAGGTTAAAAAAATTGTCAACAGAATGAAATTTAATTTGTCCAATTTTAGATTTATTCGAAATAACATGACTACTGAAACAGCTAAGTTGTACCTTGACTCAATGATTGTATCACATATGCTATATTGCATAACAACAGTACCATCATTGTCGCATTCTGAACAAATATGAGCGAATGAACTGGGAAAATCCTGTGAAATACACTGATTCTGTACTTATTTATAAAATTCTTCATGATCAAGCTCCACCACCACTACAAGTCTTTGTCAAAAGAAACTCAAACAGATCCACCAGAGCAGGCTCAAGGGGTGATTGTACGGTACCACTCAGGAAAAGTACATTTGGACAAGCAACATTCTCCTATCGTGCATCGAAAACATATATATTATATATACCGAGCACGATACGCGAACTACCAACCATTGCATCATTTTCCAATCATCTTAAAGCATGGTTACTAGAAAACCAGATCTGTGAACATGGTCATACTTAAATTTGTATACTTTTTGTCTATTTGCTGTATGCTGTTGTATCTTAAAATGTTGTTTGTTGTATGCATGATGTTGTCTGTTGTATGCATGATGCACTTTACTATGGGCATTCGGAAATAGATTATCACACTTATTAGCACTTTATTACGGGCATTTCTGCAATATGAATCAGCACTTTATTATGGCAGGGCACCCTGCAATAGAATATAGAATATTTTGTTGTTATTGTGGTTGTTGTGGAAAGTTCTTATTGTCCTTCCTCCCTCCTCTTCTCTTCTTACACCTACCTGCCTGTGGGACAGGAGATGGAAATTAGCCGTACGGCTACAATCTCTTCTCATATTTACATTTTTTTTTCTTTTAAAATGTTCATTAATATGCATTGTCCCATTTCTAAATAAATAAACTTGAAACGTGAAACTTGAAACTGTTGTAATAATTTTTAATGGGAATGAAACTTTTTTATACAGTTTTTAATGAAAATGAAACTTTTTTATACAGTTTTTAATGAGAATGAAACTTTCTGTAATGGTCTTCAGTGAGAATGAAACTTTTGTTAATGGTTTATAATGAGAAAGACGCTTTTGGTAATAGTTTTAAATGAGAATGAAACTCATTGTAACAGTTTTTAATGAGAATGAAGCTTTTTGTAATACTTTTTAGTGAGAATTAAACTTTTTGTAATGTTCTTCAGTGGGAATGAAACTTTTGTTAATGGTTTATAATGCTAAAGACACTTTTGGTAATAGTTTTAAATGAGAATGAAGCTTTTTGTAATAGTTTTTAATGAGAATCAAACTTTTTTTTAACAGTTTTTAATGAGAATGAAACTTTTTGTAATAGTTTTTAATGAGAATGAAGCTTTTTGTAATAGTTTTTAATGAGAATCAAACTTTTTGTAATAGTTTTTAATGAGAATCAAACTTTTTTTTATAATACTTTTAATGAGAATGACACTTATTGTAATAGTTTATAATGAGAATGGAACTTTTTTATAATAGTTTCTAATGAGAATGAAGCTTTCTGTAATAGTTTTTAATGAGAATCAAACTTTTTTATAATACTTTTAATGAGAATGAAACTAATTGTAATAGTTTCTAATGAGAATGAAACTTTTTTATACAGTTTTTAATGAGAATGAAACTTTTTGTAATAGTTTTTAATGAGAATGAAACTTTTTTGTAGTAGTTTTTGATGAGAATGAAACATTTTTACACAGTTTTTAATGAGAATGAAACTTTTTTGTAGTAGTTTTTGATGAGAATGAAACATTTTTATACAGTTTTTAATGAGAATGAAACTTTTTTAATAATAGTTTTTAATGAGAATGAAACTTTTTGTAATAGTTTTTAATGAGAATCAAACTTTTTTTGTAGTAGTTTTTGATGAGAATGAAACATTTTTATACAGTTTTTAATGAGAATGAAACTTTTTTAATAATAGTTTTTAATGAGAATCAAACTTTTTGTAATAGTTTTTCATGAGAATGAAACTTTTTTATAATAGTTTATAATGAGAATGAAACTTTTTGTAATAGTTTATAATGAGAATGAAGCTTATTGTAATACTTTTTAATGAGAATGAAGCTTTTTGTAATAGTTTTTCATGAGAATGAAGCTTATTGTAATAGTTTTTATTGAGAATGAAGCTTTTTGTAATAGTTTATAATGAGAATCAAACTTTTTGTAATAGTTTTTAATGAGAATGAAACTTTTTATAATAGTTTTTAGTGAGAATGAAACTTTTTTATAATAGTTTTTATTGAGAATGAAGCTTATTGTAATAGTTTATAATGAGAATGAAACTTTTTGTAACAGTTTTTAATGAGAATGAAGCTTATTGTAATAGTATATAATGAGAATGAAGCTTATTGTAATACTTTTTAATGAGAATGAAGCTTTTTGTAATAGTTTATAATGAGAATGAAGCTTTTTGTAATAGTTTATAATGAGAATGAAGCTTATTGTAATAGTTTTTGAGTGAGAATCAAACCTTTTTTAATCGTTTTTAATGAGAATGAAACTTATTGTAATAGTTTATAATGAGAATGAAGCTTATTGTAATACTTTTTAATGAGAATGAAGCTTTTTGTAATTGTTTATAATGAGAATGAAGCTTATTGTAATAGTTTATAATGAGAATGAAACTTTTTGTAATAGTTTTTGAGTGAGAATCAAACCTTTTGTAATAGTTTTTTAATGAGAATGAAACTTTTTTATAATAGTTTATAATGAGAATGAAACTTTTTATAATAGTTTTTCATGAGAATGAAACTTTTTTATAATAGTTTTTAATGAGAATGAAGCTTATTGTAATAGTTTATAATGAGAATGAAGCTTTTTATAATAGTTTTTCATGAGAATGAAACTTTTTTATAATAGTTTTTAATGAGAATGAAGCTTTTTGTAATAGTTTTTAGTGAGAATGAAGCTTTTTGTTTGTGTTTTTGCATTGTGACGTGCCTCATGTTTCTGCACTGTAGGGGCCTGGCATTTTTGCCGCAGCGCTCTGAACTCCTCACGTTGAGAAAACAATAGCTTCCTATATTTTGGACCCTCTCACTATGTGTACTTGCAAAGGTCAATAATGTCAGGACGACTCACAATTAAAATTCGTGTCTTCACCAGAGTTGAACTTCAAGTCCACTATTTGCACTGATTCCTCTGGACTAAACAGACATTACTGAGAAATTCTGCCGTTTTAAACGTTGCTATGACGTCGGTTTGGACTCACCTGCTCCTTCCTCTTCCTTCTTGTCATCATGTTTCTCTCCACCACCAACAATTGAGATGATGTTTCCTATGTCGAATCCTCCTTTCTCCTCTTTCTTGCCACCACAGACGCCTGAGATGATGTTCCCTACATCTAATCCTCCTTTCTCCTCTTTCTTCCCGCCACACGCGCCTGAGATGATGTTTCCTATGTCAAATCCTCCTTTCTCCTCTTTCTTCCCGCCACACACGCCTGAGATGATGTTTCCTATGTCAAATCCTCCTTTCTCCTCTTTCTTCCCACCACAGACGTCTGAGATGACACCTCCTATGTCAAATCCTCCTTTCTCCTCTTTCTTCCCACCACACGCGCCTGAGATGATGTTTCCTATGTCAAATCCTCCTTTCTCCTCTTTCTTCCCACCACAGACGTCTGAGATGACACCTCCTATGTCAAATCCTCCTTTCTC